GGGAGGAGCGGGGTTCATGGCAGGGCTATTTTTTTTCCCCTTAAAGAGCCAGGAGCTGGGAGAGCAGGCGGGGCAGCCATTGAGAGCAGGCAGGGGATGGGGCCAATTTTGAGATTTGGCTGATTCAACCGAATCTAATTTGGAGATTTGATTCGGGGCAGTGATTCCAATCATCAAATCGAATCACTGTCCCCTGAAATTGGCCAAATCTGAAGCGAATACCAACCGCTTCGCACAGGCCTAGTTGCTCACAGACCAACGCTATTTTTGCAGAGGCAAGTGCAGCATTAAGGCTGATTCAGGCTGCAGCATTTGAGGGGTCTGCTCTAGTTAGCTATTTGGGATTGTATTATGAATGTGCGAGTGCCTAAGTGTAGTTGCCTAGAAATCTTTGCAATCCCAAACTGAAGCATGTAATGAGGTTTTAGGGTGGTCTCATGCCAGAGCAATTTGAATCACTCCTTAGAATTTAGGCACCTAAATCCCAAGTAAATTCAAGTAAGTTCCCTACTGAGATGCTATGAAGCTAATCCAAGGGTACTAAACGAATTATAGTAGACCAACTAAATATTTCAGTTTTAATAAAATACTTGATTCAGTTATGTGTATTACATTAAAAACGCAACTTAACCATGCAAATGAGCTGGAATTATGTTAATATTTTAGCTACTGAACAGTAAACCCAAAATAATGAGTAATGACTGTGCCTGGCTAGGAGGAGATATTGGAAGTGAACCTGTCATGATCCATTGTGGACTATTAAAAATTGGCAATATGCATTACAAAACACAGAACATCCATTCTGGATTATAGTATTCCACCGATAATACATTCAATTGTAATAATAATGAAAACATCAACTATTTATGCATATACTGCTTATGCCTAGTGAATCTAGTTCCACAGCACTGGTTAAAGCACACAAACAAGAAAAAATTCAAAGGAAAGTTTAAAAAAAAACAAATCAGAAGATTAAGCAATAATGCTTTACAGAATAGATCAAAGAAATTGTTCTGCCTGTAATCTGAAGATCTCAATGATTTTTCAAACGTTTGACCGCCCTCAAAAACTCAAGAGGTTTTACGTATTATTATCCTTTACACATGGAGAAACGGAGGCATCTATAACTGAACAACTTTCCTCTCAAGATTCCATATCTGCTCCTGCCACTAACTTTCAATTTGAACAAAGGAGATAGAATAGGCCCTTTCTAACTCAAGGCTTTTATCTCATCAGAATCTTTCAAATATATCACAATGATACCTCTGAAGAATTTTAAACAAAAGATACTTAATCTTGTTTTCTAATGTTACTCCTCTTACCCACTGAAGTGTTCAATTGTTTTGAACTTCCTTTCACATTTAAGTCCTCGCATAACACACTTCCTTATTTGTAATGGGATCTGGATTTTGTGTAGTTTCATTTCTGCATTATTTTCCACTCAGAGCAACATTCTAGACATACTTCACTGTATTGGGCACTGGGTTTCTCCTTTGACCCCAACCCCATGTATGGTTGGTGGTGTAGGCCTTCTAAGTAACAGATAATGCAAGTGTGCAAAGTAGTAAGGTTATTTTATGGTACACTTATCAGTGTTTCTTCTGTAGACATTATTTTGGGAAAAAAGGTATAGACTAAATGAAAAGACAGACATACCAGAGCAGCCTTTAACACTGGAACGAGATGAGGCAACAAGGGAAGAGTTTTTTCGGCAGCACCTTCCACCAAAAGCAATTCCTTAAAGCCTTCCTTTGATACAAATGTGTATGGATGTTTTGTTTCTCTGAGACCCTGTAATGCATTAAAATGTTTGCTTAAGATGTAACTTTGCTTAAAACACAAAAGTACATTAAAGCATTGAAGGCTACCACTAGCAGCAATATTATCACAGCCATTAAAAAACATAAACCCTGCTAACTCCACCATGTGGATCCACTGAGTACAGCTCTGCTCAATGAATATTCTTATCCTTTTTAACCTCAGAAATTTAAAGGACACCATTGAATCCTTAACATTGTCCATTTCATCAACCTTTGTACTTTCTTATCTTCGTATCTTCTCAAAATCACTTCTCTGCAGACCCATGAAAAGAAAATAGGTTACATTTGTAAGGGATTTGCATACTCTCAAAAATGGAAATATCCAGGCCTCATGAGATCTTAATACTAACAGAACTCAGAGACACTTTAAATTGTTTTGTTCCATGGTCATAGAATCATACAAAGTTAGGGTTGGAAGAGACCTCAGGTCACCCAGTCCAACCCCCTGATCAAATCAGGACCATCCCCAACAAGATCAGCCCAGTTAAAGCTTTGTCTAGCTGGGCTTTGAAAGCCTCCAAGGATGGAGCTTCCATCACCTTTCTGGGTAACCTGTTCCAGTGTTTTACTACCCTCCTAGTGAAAACATTCTTCCTAATATCTAACCTAAACTTCCCTTGCTGCAACCTGAAACCATTGCTCCTTGTTCTCTCATCTGCCACCACTGACAAAGAGCCCTGCTCCGTTGTCTTTCGAACCCCACTTCAGGTAATTGACGGCTGCTATTAAGTCCCTTCTCATTCTCCTCTTCTCTAGACTAAATATGCCCAGTTCCCTCCATCTTTCCTCATAAGTGATGTCCTCCAGTCCCCTCACTACTTTTGTTCCCCTCTGCTGGACACTCTCTAACTTGTCCACATCCTTTCTGTAGTAGGGGGGCCAAAACTGAACACAGTACTCTAGATGTGGCCTTACCAGTGCTGAATAGAGGGAACAATCACTTCCCTTGACCTGCTGGCAACACACCTATCAATACAGCCCACTATGCTGTTAGCCTTGTTGGTAACAAGGGCACACTGCTGGCTCATATTCAGCTTACTGTCCACTGTAACCCCCAGGTCCTTTTCTGCAGACCCCCTGCCAGCCAGTCACCCCCCAGCCTGTACTGGTGCATGGGACTGTTCTACCCTAAGTGCAGGACTTTGCACTTGTCCTTGTTGAACCTCATGAGATTCATTTTGGCCCAATCCTCCACTAGATACCAGCAGCCAACTAGACATCAAGACACTGATTACTACTCTCTGAGCCCAATGCTCCAACCAGTTTTCGATCCCTTGGTGTATCCATGACGACAGTTCCTAATCGATTTGAGGACCTTTTTCTCCTTCAAGTGCTTCGAGATGGATTCTTTGAGGATCTGTTCCATGATTTTTCTAGGGACACAGGTGAGGCTGACTGGTCTGTAGTTCCCTGGATCCTCCGTCTTCCCTTTCTTAAATATGGGCACTCTGTTTGCTCTTTTCCAATCATCCAGGACCTCTCCTGATAGCCACAAGTTTTCAAAGATGATAGGCAATGGCTCTGCAACCAATCAGCTAACTCCCTCAGCACCCCCAGGTGTACCCCAACTGGCCCCACAGACTTGTACACATTGGGCTTTTCAAAGTAGTCCCTAACTTGTTCTTTCACCACTGTTGGCTGCTTACCTCCTCCCCAAACTATGCTGCCTGGTGAAGTAGTCCGGGAGCTGACCTTGTCTGTGAAGACTCAGGCAAAAAACAAACTGAGAACTTCAGCCTTTTCTGCATCTTCTGTCACAAGATCACCTCCCCCAGTCAGTAAGGGACCCAACACTTTCCCTGATCCTCCTCTTGCTACCAACATACTTGTAGAAACCCTTTTTGTTACCCTTCACATCCCTTGCTAGCCACAACTCCAATTGCACCTTCCTGACTTCATCACTGTGTGCCTGAGCAATGCTCTTGTATTCCTCCCTAGTTATTTGTCCAGTTTTACACTAATAAGTTTCCTTTTTGTGATTTAGTTTACTGAAGAGTTCCCTGCTAAGCCAAGCTGGTCTTATGCCATGCTTGCTATTCTTCCTGTGCATCAGGATGTTTGTTCCTGCACTCTCAGTAAAGATTCTTTAAAGTACAGCCAGCTCTCTTTGACTCCTTTCGCCCTCAGTCTGGCTTCCCAGAGCTCCTTTCTCCACTTTGCTATTATTTGAGTTATCTTTCTAGAGCAGTGATTCTTGATAAGGCTACAGCACCCTGGAGTGTCTTGAGATCTTTTCAAGGGTACCACGGGATGCCATGCAATGTTAGCACTGTTAGGTGAGCAAACATGATTCACAAGATAAACCTAAAGATTTTGAATAGGAATCCATAAAGTTAAAACTTTGTGACCTTCTGAGTTTTTTAGAACAGAAGTTTTGTTCTATTATTTTTCTGCAGTCAAAAAACAAGTGAGAACTAAGATCTGGCATTTTCCAAGGGGTGCCTCAAGTCTAAAAAGGTTCAACACCACTGTACTAAAATGTTTAATTATACGTAATGATCACTCTGGCATGTTTGATACTGAACACCAAATTAAAATTGGTTAGATCTTTCAAGGCAAACCTTACAGCCAGTGCTGGGAAGCCATATAAATCTGGATAGAATAATTTGTAGTGACTAATACAAAAAGAAGAAATTAAACACACACTTGAGCATATTTTTTCAGGTTTCCTGCTTGTTTACTGAATTAGTTTTCAATGTTCCTATTGCACTGAATGGAATTAATTCAGTTACTGAAGAGAAAGCTTTCTTTGCATTGGCAGATTAGTTCTGTATTTACACAAGGGAAACTGGTGATTAACAGAAGGATCTTTAATACCATAAATGACTTAAAGGATTCCCCAGAGGAGCTGGAGCTCTGAAAACTACTCTGAACTTGGGATGAAGTGTTGCAGGCAACACGACAAAGACTACCTCCTTCATACCAGAATGCTGCACCTACTAAAAATGTGTCTCCAAAAGTACTTATGACTTATACTGTATAGTTTACTAAATGTTAACCTACACTTGCCAAGATACTACTAAAATAGCAAAGAAATGTATATTCTGCAAAGGCAAGTGTGTGAAAGCAATTTTCATCTAAACGCTTTCATCAATGACAATGAGCTAGTCATTGCAGCATCATACCTGATCAAAATACTATTGCAAGATTTTCTCAGATAGCAGGATTACTTCTTTCCCTCTTCCGAATATATATACTTGCCATTTTAAATGCAGGAAGAGGGAAAGAAATAATCTTTCAATCTCTGCCCAACGTGCACACGCACGCACATGGATGTTGGACAAAGATCTTATCTCCCTGTATAAGTAACAGTACTGTAAACCAGTACTGGTTCTCAACTTTGTTACACTCAAAACGCCTGTCAGAAAATACTAGTTCTAAGCTCCCACTAATATGACAGGAAAATAATAGAGCCATTCTTCTTTTGAAAATAGTTCAGAAAGCCCACAACAGGTTGGAATGTTTTTGATACAGATTTCTATTTCAAATCTCTGGATTTATCTTGTGAATTATGTGCAAGTGTTTGAGGGATGTATTTGGTAGCTAAGCTGGTCTGAGACAAAAAGAAGCACAAAACTCCAAAACTCCTGGTTCAGAGATAATACCCATCTAATAAAAAGTATCATCTCTGAACCAAGAGTTTTACAGTTTTGCATTTTGTGTAGGTGTTTGCACACTTAACAGTGCTACTATTGCATGGCACCCTTAAAAGGATCCTGCAGGAACTTAGGGCATTGCTGATGCGACCTGGTTAAGAATCAGAGCTGTAAGCTATAAACAGGATTAGAACGGAAATCTTTGCTTAACTATTTAAATTGTCATTTACAATAAAGTATTATTATGTAATATAGCAAAATCCGCAGGACCATTTTGGTTAGAAGCACAGAACCATAGAAACTAGTGCTGGAAAAGAACTCAGGAGGCCATCCAGTCCACCCCCATGCTCAAGGCCAGATCATCCCTGAATAATTAATCCCAGTCAAGTATCCATCTAACCTGCTCTGAGAAATATCCACCAAGATGGAAATTTCACAATCCAAGTAGCCTGTTTCAACATGTAACCACTTACATAGTCAGAAAGTTCTTCCTAATACTCAACTTAAATTTCCCTTGCTGCAATATAAGATGATTGTTTCTTGTCCTGCCCCACCCCCTGAGGTCACAGAGAATCTTTCACATATTCTCCCTTTCAGTATTTGACAATTTATCAAATTCCCCCTAAATTATCTCTTCTTCAAATAAATTAATCCTAGTTCTTTCAGCCTATCCTCATAGGAAGCTGATTCTTGATTGTTTCAGCAGTTTTCCATTATTCTCTCTCATTATACAAATTACTGGGAAGTTACTTTAAAGAGAATGATCAACTGACTCATGGTGCTTGACCAGTTCTAATTGCAACCATTATTTTTCCTGTTTATCACAACTTGGAAAGATTACAAAATCAAAGTGTAATTACATTATCCTCCAACTCCTTATCTTGATCACAGTAGTAAAGTATGCAGCATGGTGTCTGGAAAAGCAGATGCACTATTCTTCTCCTCCTTTCTTCCCTTGTAAGAATCCCAGTTTCTAAGTGAGATACTTTACTTGGGCACTAAGAACTAAATTTGCTTGTAAATGCTTAACATAATCTTGTTCTGAACTTGGGACTCTGAAAAAAAACTAAAAAAAAGACCTTTCCTCCACTTAAAAATATGTTAGTGTAATACTGAGAAAATTAACTAACAATGTTTGAAATTTTAGGGCATTTTTGTAAAAAATATTTTTTTTCTCTTATTTTCAAAGGACAAATCATCAATCACAATTGTGCCTAGATATCGCAGTGAGTAGGTATTTGATTTATGAAGCAGCTAATTAACTCACTCCTTAAGGCACATTAGTAACCATATTAAATGATTTGCAACTTTATACACATGCTGCATGCCTACATAATTTTTGACCACTGCATATCAAAAATAATTACTTTATTTTACAGCAATATAATTACACAACAAAAGCAAGCTTACCTCAGCCAATGTTATAAGAAGAGGATCAAATGGAAGTGTTTCAGGAAGACATTCCCACTGTAGTTTGTGTTTTACTGAGCCATGAATCAACCTATAACAAAGAACAAGGTTTTAAGAAATGGTGCCACAACAGAACATTCATCATAAAATAATAAATAGTAAATAAATTATTTTCATACTAAAAGGTCCCTAAGTGTTCTACAAAATTACTGTGAAAGAATGTTTATGCCTAACACAGGCTCTTCCAGTGAAACTCTGGATGCAACTGATACATACCCCAAGTTGGGCAGAATGCTGCAATTATACAACATTATTAAGAAACTTTTAAATAGGACAATGCTCAGATTTAATCTTCAATCATTTACAAATACATGCTAGAGAATAAGTTGTAAAAAAATTATACACTTCTTATATATGGATACAAGCAGTCAGCATGTTTTGTTGTAAAGTTTACTCCTTGATATTTATTAAAACAGATTTGCTGATAGTATGAATACTGAAGCTGGGTCATGAGAAAAGCTTAGCTGTATTCATGCTGGATCAGATCAGTTTTGGTTCATCGGAAAGAAAGGGGTTACTGAATACAAGTATAAATGGTTACTCAAACATTTGCTTAAAATAATTCTTTACCCACTTGAAAGAGACACCATCAAGATGTACTTATGCACAGAAATTGTATCTTATAAAAAGTGCAATTTCTAAACCTACTGCTTATAGCAGTTTTGTTAAAGGACATTACTGTAATAGGTATATAATCAGGCTGTTTTCCTCCACCTTCATGGCAGATAAGGAAGCAGATGCTTAACTATTATGACAACGTTATTTTGTTCTGCCACTAGAGGGCAGAAAACACCACAGTCTGAAGAAATCAGCCGCTTTCAGTGTTAACTCAGTAAATTACTGCAAATGTTTTTCTACTCTTGGAGCCAAGCAGCTTCTAAATCATAGGAAATATCTAAACGAGTTTAATACTTGGGTGATATATTTTTTGACCAGAATTAGATAATACAAGCATTTTCAGAGATCAATAAATTTAGGATGCCAGAGAACACATAATTCCATATTCAGCTTTGATCCTATGAAAGTCAACAATCAATAAAAGAGTCTTAATGTGCTTTATCATACTTTAAACTATTGTTTAAATACATTCACATCAGTTGCTTTAAAAAGTTCATTACCTGCAAGGAATACCCCCTTTAGAATAAATAGCAGCAAATGCAGAAGGGGCCTTTGGCTGATCACCGAACTGGTTAGACAAGAAAGAAAATAAGACATAACAAAATACCCGTTATTCATGAGTGTCAAATTTAATTTATAAATATAAATTGCTAATTATTAATTTAATTTAAATGTAATCTGAATCTTGTAATCAGATAAATAATAAACAATACTATAGAAGCTGGCTAGAAACTTTTCATTTTTACACTAGATTATAAAATATACCACATTACCAATGTCTTGCAAAGAAGTTCTGCATATTAGCAAATACTAAATAGTGGATGCCTCCTTGCAGAATTTCTCACTTCATTTTTGTTATTTTTTCTTGGAAACACTCCCAAGAAAGTCAGTGGTCATGTACAGATGTTCAGTTTCTACTACAAGAATCATTGTTCTTCCAGTAGAAACCCAAAGCATGAAGACATTAAAGCTTTTGCTCCAGGGGCAAAAATAACCAATCTGGGAGAAAAGTTGCCTGGGAACAATCGGGGACATATTCCTAGAACAGTTTCTCCCAGGACACTGAACATGTGCATCCTTTCCTCTGACTTAACTGCTCCTAGGGACCAAAAAGACTGGAGCAAGGCAAAGCTGAGTGGCTATTTCAAAGCCAGAGGGGCCAGGGAAAGCACCTGCACACAAAACTCCCAGCCCCTCTGGCTACCTCTTTGCCATCTGTGCCATCCAGCTGACCCAGAGCAGAACAGAATGAGGCATGTTGCTATGATGCCATGGGGAAATGACCATGCCCCATCCTGCACAGCCAGAGCAGTGCAGGGCATTTAGGCTGCCATGCCTCTGTGGCTTAATTGAATGCTCCCCGCACTCTTCCAGGTTAGCCCAGAAGTGCAAGGAGTGGGCCTATTTTCCTGCAAGGGAGAACCAAAAGGGTTCCTGCCACTAAAGAATGCCCCTCTTTTCCTATCACCCAGTTGACTGGAGGGATGGGGGCAGGGGGTATTCTCTCAGAGCAGGAACTCTCCCCAGCTGTCTGTGGCAGCTCCTACTTTTTAGCAGCTGTCAACTGCCACTTGACAGCCTGCCCCTTTCCCAGGAAGAGAGAGGACATGTTGTCAACGAATGGGTTCCCTAAGGCCAGGAGCAGCCCTCTATTTCTCCTGGATAGAGTGCTTGCCTGCAAAGTTCTTTAGCCATGGGACTGGAGAAATAGCTGTACAATCCTGCTCCCACACTTTTTTTCTACTGGCAGAAATGTCATCATGTAGCAGTGAACGTCTGTACACAGAGAGTGATAGCCCTAATGGAGCTATCCTGACATACTTAGGGACGGGGTAAACACGAAGTAACAACTTCTTAATATAAAGGTAAGGCACTACCAATTTAGAAGCATAGTTTTTACTTTATCTGAATATTTCCATAAGCCCTGCTGTAACTTAAGATTTTTCTAAAAAACTAATTTTTCACACCTGTCTGAAGATAGCCTTAACTCAAAAGTGTAAACTTAGGATTTGATTTGTCACAGAGACTTTTCCCAGAAGCAAGAGTCTGTAATTATTTTGTTTTCAGTTCTTAGCAGCTAGCATCTTTTCTACTTTGCAGCAGAGATAGAGACATTTAACTCCTCTCCTCCCTCTTTTCAACCTACACAATTCTGTACCAAGTTTTATCGTTCTCAGAGTTATCCATAATTCATACTACACATTGGTCTCGCCTAACACTCTCCTCCCTTCTAGCCTTAAACCTCTGGCATTCACTTATCTCAGGATGGAATCTTGCAATTTTACTCAGACAAGATCCAGGCTCACAGCAACCTGTGCTCCAACTATGATTGACAAGCCAGTCTGGTTTGATTTAAACTAGCTTTCCTTAAAGACCTGTGATAAATGGTGAACACAGTGACCCAAAACACTTTTCAAAACAAGCATCATAAGTAGGAAGGGGTTTTACCTGAACAATCTACATACATATCAGTATACCTAATCACTCTTAATTTGGGGAACTAGTATTCAGTTTCTGCCTTTCCTTGACCTGTTATTTAGGGGCTGAATTATTTACCCCAATTTTTTTTATTTCAGTCTCCCCCCTGGATCGACTTTCTATCTGGAATTATAAAACAGTAAGGTCAGACAAACTTCAAAATAAGTGACATTTAATTAGTCTTTAAAGAAAGGTAAATGGAGCTAGCTGAAGTCTCCTTGTGTGAATAAATACACTCTAAACTGCTTCCACAAACCAAATAAATAGGCATCATGAAATGTGGCATGCAGTTCACTCCCAGGATCTTCACCCAGATATAGTTTTAACATGGGTGATAACCAGGAATCCTGGTTTTCTCTGTTTAAAAATCCCAAATTCTTTGATTTAAAAAAAAACAAAACAAAAAAAAAAGACCAAAATTCTCTCATTAAAACCCCCCAAAATCTGTGTTGTTCCATGATTAAAACAAAATGACACTATATATATACATATATATATATATATACATATATATATATATATATATATATATATACATATATATATACATATACACATATACACACACACACACACGTATGTATGTATGTATGTATGAGTTGAACACAATGTTTTATTGATATATTTAAAATTTTAAAGCAAATATCAAAGCCTACCAGCGCCTCAATCATTAAGATAAAACACATTCTATATGCCTATATATTTTGGCATTTGATTTTGGTTTTTATATCATAGAAAATGATATCCTCTATCCCGGGGAAGATCTTAGAACAGTTTATTAAAGAGGCCATCCTTAATGGACTGGCTGACGACAACATCTTAAGGGATAGCCAGCACGGGTTTGTTGCGGGTAGGTCTTGCTTGACCAATCTCATTTCCTTCTACGACCAGGTGACCTATCACCTGGACAAGGGAGAAGAGATTGATGTCATATATCTTGACTTCAAAAAAGCCTTTGACCTGGTTTCCCATAATC